TTAAAAGGGGAGTTTCACGATGGTAAAACCATGGCTCTCGCATGAATATAATAACTCACTGACTAAAGATGGCGTTAGCAAGGTGTTACACCGGCTCAAAGGCAAATCTGAAGAACAGGCATATATGAACCAGGAATATGATGAGATGAAGTTGCTAACAGATGCCACAAAGAAATCAACTTGCTAAGAGGTCCTGAGATGAGTTTACTAATAGGTTATTATCGCAACCAAAAAACCACACCCATTCTTGTTAAGTTAATTCTGACTCACAGTGACCCTATAGGTCAGAGTAGAACTGCCCCATAGGCTTGCCAAGACTCTTATCTCTACAGAAACAGACTGCCTCATCTTTTTCCCAAGGAGTGGCTGGTGGGTTTAATCTGCCTACCTTTTGGTTAGCAGTTGAGTGCTTAACCACTGTACCTCTAGAGCCCCTAGGTTAATATCTACAAGCTAAACTGTCATCTTTGAAATGATCACTGTAGCAGGTGAATCAATTGAACCTCTGTAAGAAAAAAATTATGTGCATTTCTATGGACGAGAACCACTTGCATTATTATCAGTCAATGCACTTTAGGCCCAGCCACCACCTGTCTGTCAATGGCGGCTTGTGTAATGTTATGATGCTGACAAACTTTAGCAGGACTTCCAGACTAAGATGGACCAGGAATAGAGGCCTGGTGATCTACTTCCAAAAATCAGCCAGGGAAACCCCATGAATCCCAAAAGTCTGATCCCAACTGATCACAGTGAGGGTGGCAAAGTGCTTCTCATTCTGTTGTGCATGAGGTCGCTACGAGTCCAGCCTCACTCAATGGTTGCTGACAACCACAACAATACATGAGTTAACTCTGAAAGGTCCGAGACAGCCCCCAGCATTCCATTAAAAGGTACTCAGTAATCGTACCAATTTCAAAGTCTTTTATAATATTTCTGACAGTCTTAACCCATTATGGGGATGAGGTTATAAGTGAGGTGGTTCTGAAGATTACAGACATGCTGAAATTGCCTGGCTCTGAGAAAACACTCATTGGTGGCAATTCCTACTCATCATCAAACCCAAATTGGGGGCACTCATGAATGTACGCATTATGAGACAACCATTATTTGGTAGCAGATGGCTCTTCTTCCGTGGGTTTTGTCACTTACTTAAGGGCTTTCTAACTTTAGGGCTGTTGGCTGTGACCGTCACAGGCCTGGCTGGTTTGCAGGCTGGGGAATTGGTCCTGATTTGCCTCTTAATAGCAAAGTAGTCAGTCCTAAAAGCCTGAGAGATACCTAATCTTGTTACCCTTGTATAGGCATCTTCAATAAATTCAATAAACTCTATATGGAATGATCAGTATTATTTTTATTCAGCACTCATATACACATCTCATTGTTTACAGAGTAAAGCTCTTAGCAGCAAATATGGAAAGCAAGATGATCGTACAGGCCAAGTTGCAGCTGCTTGAAGAGATACACCCCAGCAGTGGCCATCTCAAAGGAGGTCCCTAGTGGTGTGGTAAATGGCGTGTCCAAAATTAGGTTGCCTTTCCTGATTGACCTAGTTTTTAGATTTCAATGAAGATATATTAAACAATGCTGCAGCTGACACAAGGATAGAATTATAAATATGATGGATGGCACTCAAAGTTCAAAATTATTTCTGTTGTAGGTAAAACTCAAAAAGATTAGCTGTAAGAAGGAAAACATAAGGTTGTGCATTCAGGTTCAATAAATCCATTACCCAAACCCCGGATGGGGAGGCCACTCATGACAGCAGTTCCTATAGGGATGAAGCAGGTCTAGGAATCCTGGTCCTGAAAAGCTCAGTGGGAACCTACTGTGGGATGCAGCTGCTGAAATTGTTCATGTAAACTGAACTTCAAAAGGCAGAGACCATGTCTGGGTCACAGGAGGTAACATTCTGCATCAGGACGACACAGCTTAAACCTAGGGCTCAGTCAGGGCCATCAGATTGTAGGAAGGGCACAGATTGACCAGAGAAAATCCAGAAAAAGCTATGTGGTAGTTATGTTTGTGTGTCAACTTGGCTGGGCCTGGTTGAGTGGCTGGGCAGCTGGTGGTAGTTATTCCCCATGATGAGACTGGCAATCAACTCCATGGTAGGATCTACCACAAGCAGCTGAGTAGCTGCCTTTGGGATGTGGTCTGCTTCCTGTAATGTGGTCTGCTTCCTGTATATAAGGAGAAGCCTTGGGAATGGTCTCTAGCCTATGGCATGCTTGTAGCTGTGTTGTTGCTTAGCAGCCTGCTATCCTCTGCCGCCTTGGGACTTACGATGGACTTAAGTTAATGGCCTGCTGTGTGGTTTGGTAACATCGGGACTGTGCCTTTTTAGTTGTCAACCTTGGGGCTTCTCAGCCTCAGCAGCCAGCAGCTGTCTGAGTGAAGAAACACCTCTATCTAGCTCCAGTGGGCCGGGAGCAGGAGGCAGAGCTGGACCCCAAGGTTGAGGGGCTTTTACCCAGCCCCTAGAGCCTGGCACTTTGAACTTGGACTTAAAGCATCCAAACTGTAAGAGAATAAACTCCTGTTTGTTAAGGCCATCCCATTTGTGGTATATTCTTGTCAGAGCAGCACTAGGGAACCAGAACAGGCTGGATGGTGCAAGGTCTGCAGATCAACTCACATGGAGCACAGCTGAAAGAACTGGGTGGGGGCTTAGGTCTGGAGGTGAACACATCAAGTTGTAGTGTTCACTTTTCTTTAAAGATGGAAGGGGCTGCTCTGCAGAAGGAAGACTGGGCAATCTACTTACGTAAAGATTTACCACCTCAGAAACCCAATGGGGGTCGCTAGGAGTTGGAATCAACTCAATGGCAGTGGGTTTGGTTTTTAGAGTTTACATAGAATAGAAGGAAGCTTGGTGGTGCAGTGGTTAACGCTCTTGGCTGGTAACCAAAAGATTGGCATTTCAAACCCACCAACTGCTCCTTGGGAGAAAAAGGTGGTAGTCTGCTTGTGTAAAGGTTACAGCCTTGGAAACCCCATGGGGCAGTTCAACCCTGTCCCATAGGGCCCATGGGTTGGAAATGACTCCACAACAATGGGTTTCTTGGTTTTTACACAGAATAAATGGAGTCCATGTGGGGCACAATCGGTGAAACACCTGGCTACTAACCGAAAGGCTGGCAGTTCACATCCACTAGAGGTGGCTCAGAATAAAGGCCTGGCTATCTACTTCGGAGACAACGCAGCCATTGAAAAGCCTACGGAACACAGGTCTACTCTGAAACACTCAGGACTGAGTCAGAGGGGACTCAACAATGGTTATACAGAAGAGAAAACTGTGCTCAATGTTATTCCAAAGGAAAGTTCCAGCACACTGCACGGAAGTAGCTGGGAGGCACATCCTGTTTGCCTAACAATTAGAGCTAATTAACATCCTCCTACGACACAATAGAGATACTGAGCATCTGTCCCTGGAAATATCAGCAGAGACCTGTGACCCCAGGAAGGGATGATATAGAAGGGGTAAGGATGCTACCCAAGAGTCCACCCAATTCTAAGGCTACAGCATTGAGAACAATCAGTGTACTTGAATCAGTCTTCAAGGTCTAGCTGATTGTTTTTGTTCAGTTCCAGCAGAGTATAAATCGTGTTACTCACCTTACCCACTTTCGCTACTTCCTCTAAATGAAGGGGTTAACCAAAAAAACCCAAACACACTGCCACTGAGTCAGACCCGACTCATAGTGACCCATCCTTGGGTTTCCGAGCGGTATCTCTATGGAAGTAGATTGCCCAACCTTCCTTCCAAGGAGTGGCTGGTGGGTTTGAACTGCCAGCCTTCTGGTTAGCAGTCAAGTGCCTTAGGCACTACGCCACCAGATGTGCTTCATCTGCCAAAGACAGGTAATGCTTCAAGCTAGAAAGGGCCCTGCTAGAGTTAATAAAGAGCTGCTTGTCTCTGCTCCCTATGTGCAGGCAGCCACTGGACAAGTGGATGGTTCCCTCGTTCCCTTGGCAGCAATTCTAACCCAGCCAAGCCTGCTGAGAGACAGCATGGAGCAGCGAATAGGGCACTTCGTGGCGCCCCTCCCCGCGCTTAGCAACTCAGCTACCCAAGCAGCACACTGCTCTGCTCGTGAGATGTCTGCTATCTGGACCATCTGAAGCAGGGGTCCGTTCTACTCTGATTTTATGCTTTATACTCCTTTGTATTTCAAAGTTCCTATCTGGATCTTGAACTAAGAGAGGAAGAGATAAAACTTTCAAAAAGTAATCTGAGCCATGAAAAGAACTAAAACCAAAATCAAACAACCGCCATCTGGTTGATTCTGTCCCACTGCAACCCTATAGGACAGAGCAGAACTGCCCATAGGGTTTCCAAGGCTGTACTCTTTACAGAAGCAAACTGCCTCATCTTTTTCCAGAGGAGCAGCTGGTGGGTTCAAACCGCCAACCTTTATGCTGAATGCTTTAACCACTGTGCCACCAGGGCTAATCCCATTAAAAGAAAGCATGAGCTTTTTTTTCTTTGAAGTATCTTAGTATTCTGGAGAAGTCAACTAAAGACTGCGAAAATGAGGATAAACGCCAAACCAAGTTATCAGGGTGACTTGTTTACTTGGTAGAAAAATAAATTTATGGAGTAAACGTGTTTTTTTTTTTTTTTTGACAATCCATTTTATACTTTCTCCATTTTATACCTCCTCTGTAAGCTACTTTTCCTGTATTATATCAGACAGTGTTTCACTGCTATTTATAAGGTTTTCACTGGCCAAGTCTTTTAGAAGTAGATGGCTCTTCCTTCTTCCCAGTCTGTCTTAGTCTGGAAGTTCCACTGAAACCTGTCTCCCATGGGTGACCCTGCAGGTATCTGAAATACCGGTGGCACAGCCTCCAGCTTCACAGCAATAGGCAAGCCACCACAATATGACAGACTGACAGGGGTGGCCTGTGAGCTAACGGACACTTCGGGAACACAAGTGGAAGGTCACTGCTAAAGAGTACTGCACTGAAACATCACCTTCCGTGAGCAATGGGATTACCTTCATGTCCACCGAGGAGTCACCCTGCAGCAGCGTCCACTCATACTGGACAATGGCGTGGTCATCTGTGCTCTCGCGGCCATCCAAAGTCACCCCGTCTGTGGGCAGATGCACAACCACATCCTGCCCAGCCTTGCTAAGTGGAGGCTCATCATCTTCTATCAAAGAAAATAAATTATTCATGGAGAGATGATGCCCTATGTTTTTCTAACTTTATAGAGAGTGATCTTAAAATCAAAAGACTGTAAACAAACTAGGAAAGTATATTTGCATACGCAAAAGCTATTAAAAATTTTTTATAAAGGGGGCTCCCACACATGAATGAGATAAAGATCAACAATTCTGTAAGATAATAGGATGGATATAAAATGAGACAATCTAGTGCATTATAATGGAACAATCTAAAACCGGATGCAGAACAATGTACATATTATGGGACCATTTGTGTAGTGTGTGCATATAATTATATTTGCATAGAACGTCTCTGGAAGGAGTCACTAGAAACTAAAAGCCGGGATGTCCTCTGGGGATGTAGGGATGAGGGCAAGGGAGATACACTTTCTCCTGTCAATCATCCATCCTCATTCTAAAATCATGAATTTTTTTTTAACCTCCAAATGAATAAATGTTTGTGCAAGTTATGAGACTAAGAAATAAATATCCATGAACCAACAACAACAAAAAAGAAGTATCTTGTTTGTTAGAATAGATGTACTATAGCAGAGAACTGCTAAAAGAATATATGTTAACTGAATGTCATGTCATTGATTTTCATTGCTCTATCTTTACCTAATTAAAAAAATGGCAACATACTATAAATATGGCATTCAGCTATCCACATGCAGATGAAGAAGTGTGGGGTGTTGGCTGTTAGCAGACAGGACAAAGTTGTGGGTACAAGACAGGGTACTAGGGCCCTCCACTGCATCAATTCGGAGTTTTATTTTTAGAGTGAATTTTTAACTTCATCTACAAATGATTTAAGTTCAAAACTCTAGTAAGTGAATTTATATTTAAAACAAAAAGGAGCCTTTAAACAAATCAAAAAACAACCCAATGTCACCCCTAATAAAGATTTTCATTTTCCTTGTGCTCAATTTTTTTTTTTAATAGAATGATATAAAATATCCTATGGCAAATAAATTAAATTTGGAGAGTTAAGTCCTTGGATCCATACAAAATAAAAGCCGCAATGAAGTGCTCTGAGACCCAGTGTTCCTCCAGGAAGAGAAGAGTTTCACAGCTGAACAGACTAATTTCTCTGACAGAAGCCGGTGCACTGCGTTTCTGCTCAGATGACCTACAGGAGCAAAACCAGCGTGTATTCACCCTTGATCTCGCAGGGTTCTACACAATTTAAGGCTGATTATCTTCACTTACGTATTCATACTTGACTGACAGCTGATGTGGTGACCAATGGGACAAGCTGTACACAGAAACCATTTCTAAGAGCATGGTTTTGAGATTTTTTATTGATTCAAGCTTCTTATTAGTAAACTTAACCAGATGCACAAGTTTCAAAGAAACCTAACAACAGTACTGGAAACAAATTCTACAGGTCCTTGTAAGACATCCACTACGTCCTCACTCCCTGCAGTGCCAAAGCCCTGGTCCAAATGCTGGCCCTGGCTTGCTCCTCTGGAACTACCCAGAGTGATGCTGCCAAGCCATAGCTTCTCTTCCTGCTTTGTGTGCCCATTGCTTCCCTCCACAGGTGCTTTAAGCACAGCTCAGTCTGTCACCAAAGCAAACCTCTAAGGGCCAACAGGGACATTCTAGTGCCTGAGCTTTGGGGCTAGCTGCACTCCTACGGCTTCTCATTCGCTCCAAAGGTAGTCACTCTTGATCAGTGGCAGTTCCAATAACTCCTCTGGAATGCTCATCTGCCTGGGTCACTCCTATACTTAAGAAAACCCTTCACCAAGTCACCATTACTTTTGGACATTCGGGGTCCAACCCTCCAGCCTCACCTTCTCATCTAGGGACCCTCTCAGTGCCCAGCAACGGAGAATTCATGTGAGGGGCACACTGCTCTGAGAACAGTGGCTTTCCTAGATTGGAATGCTGCTGCCTTTATAAGGCACATTATAAAGAATAACCAACCCTGCAGGGAGATATGCTATTATTTCAATGTGCATGTGAAAGCTGGACAATGACTAAGGAAGACCAAAGAAGAGTTGATGCTTTTGAGTTGTGGTGTTGGTAAAGAATACTGAAAATACCATGGACTTCCAGAAGAACTAACAAATCTGTCCTGGAGGACGTGCGGCCGGAATGCTCCTTGGAAGTGAGAATGGGCAGACTCCATCTTACCTACTTGGGTCATGTTGTCAGAAGGGACCATTCCCTGGAGAAGGATGTCATACTTGGTAAAGCAGAGGGTTAGCAAAAAAGGAAAACACCTTCAACTAAATGGACTGACACAGTGGCTGCAGTGATGTGCTCAGGTACAGCAAGGATTGTGAGGCTGGCACAGGACCAGGCAACGTTTTGTTCTGTTGGACATGGGGTCACTATGAGTCAGAGCTGACTCGATGGCACCTAACGACATAACGTGTGTGTATACTGAGAACATAAACCCCATTTATGGTCATATAAAATAATGGTGACTAGTAACTGTGTTGTAGAATAAGTCAACTGAGCAACTTCCTGTTTAAGAAGAAGCATTTTGTTCTCTCTTCAGGCCTCTGATCAAAGATGCAGTGATGTCCTTAGTCTGCTTCTCTTGGGTGAGAAGCGATGTGGCACCTGGGCTACTAATGCCCTTTACAGCGTGTTAACCTTCCTTTGGTTCTGAAAGACTCACTACTTTCCATAAAATGGAAGTTTCCATTTCAGTGAAGTTCCAATTATATATACTCACTACCATCGAGTCAATTCCAACTCATAGTGGCCCCCACTGGGTTTCCAAAGTAGCAAATCTTTACAAAATAGATTGCCCCATCTCCCTTTCTTGGAGCAGCTGGTGGGTTTGAACGGCCAACCTTCTGGTTAGCAGTCAAATGCCTTAGGCACTGCACCACCGGAGCTCTTTCCAATTATATATACAA